CAGCTCAAATGTTCAAACAGCAGCTGAGAGTCAGAGGCTGATACTGAAAGCAGTGTTACAAATTTAAGCAAAAAAAATCACTAGTTACTAGGTATTAAAGCTACAATGAGGCTAATGCAACATTCATAGAGGTATTTCCAAGCGTAATCTCAGGTCCTTCTTAAAAAAACCATCTTTTTAATATCCTTGTGCTAAAGGAACTCCTTTAGTGACAGCTTACCTTCAGCCCTGAAGAGAACTCAACCATCTCTTCTGCCTGAACATTTCTCAGGCCATACACGCGGGCAATACCGTCACCGATCGAGAGCACGCGGCCTGTCTCCTCCAGCTCAGCCGAGGTGTCAGCTCCCAGGATGCGCTCCTCGAGAATAGAGGATACCTCAGCAGTACCTGGAGAGAGATGTTTGAAATCAGATTAGCACATTAAGGTACAATATGCATTCAGTAAGTTTGCCTCAAATTCACAAGGTGCCCTTTCTCAGCTGTGCTGCAAAGTCTAGCTGGCAACACCTTTACTTAGGGTAAGAGAAATACCAACCTCTGTATTCCCAGATAATAAAAGCAGCCTAAATTCATCATTAGCAGCCAGCTTCAACCAAAACAGGCCAGGCTGTGTACTTATCCACTTTCCTGATTATGCCCTACATTCTCTCTCCCTAGAAAGCAATTAGACTAATTAATCAGCCTTATCCCAGGTAGAACAGGCCTTGCAGAGCAGTTACTTAGCCTTAGATGCATTAGCACACCCTGTCAAGTGATTTGTAATTCAAGATCCTAGCCTATATAAAGGAACTTCATTATGTTTCAGGAGCAAGTTGTTTGTCATAAAAACATATTGTCCATACTTCTTCAATTTGACTTCAAACAGCTTGTTACCTCCTCAGCTAAGAAACAGTAAATAACACTGCAAAACTTATTTCCTAGTAATGCCCTTAATCACCTTAAACCACATAAAAAAATGTGCATGAAGCATTGCCAAACACGCTGCTACGCAGTGCAGCTGTCTTCTCTAAACACCAGACTGATGGCAGCAAAATAAAGCTGTGCTCAAGGACACAAGGTCAAACCCAGGCAGGCCTGGGGAAGTCATCCACTCCTTCATTCTGTTACAGGCAACTCCAATCTGGGGCTATTTTTTTCAAATAATTTTCAAATAATGCTGCAGGTGACTGGAATCCTAGTGAAGCAGGTATGCTATGTAAGCCAGCTGACATATGGCCACCCCTGCTCTGGGGACATTATCAAGTTATTGAAGTGCTGTTTGCTGGATGTAACTGGGTAACAGTTCACTTAAATACTCTCGGAACATAAATGTCCTCAAGTGCTGTCAGCTAACATTCACCATCATCAAATTCCTTTTTGTCTGACAGACCAAATTCTTAAATCACACTCAAGACCTTTCTCAGACTTACCAGTTTTCTGAAAGCCTGGTTTGGAGGCATGGAGGTTTCTTGTAGCAACAAATGCTGCGCCGACGGTGTTTCTGGAAACCTAAAATAAGTCACCATTTAAGTAACAGTAAGATTTCTTTAATCATACAAAAAAAATTCTGAGAGATTTAACACATCTCTGATTTTGAGCTGCTTATGATGCATCTCAGCTTTGAGTTAAGCTCCACAGAACCCCACTCACAACTATGGAGCTCTGGAACCAAGTCCAGCACGGCTAAGAAAGAACAGATAATGGAAGGGGATTGCTCCAAATCCCTCACTGCATTTTTCTGCAGTGCACTGATGTCACCATCAACCATTGCAGCAGCTCCCAAAGAGAAACCTCCTTACATTTGTAATTTCTGTGCTGAACATGGGAACCTTGGGGCACAAAGAAATCACTGCACCACTCAGGGTTCTGCACAGAAAAAAGATTGTGTCCTCTAACACAAATCTAATGGCAGTGGTTTTGGTATTGTTAACGCACATACCAAAAAAAACCGCAAAGCACTATAACAAAAATACCTCAGAATCACGGTTACTTTGGAAAAGAGCTGTGAGGTCATTTAGTCCAACCTATGACCAAACAGCACCTTGCCAACTAGACCATGGCACTAAGTGCATTATACCCTCAAACACCTTTAAGGCTGATGACCCCACCACTCCCCTGGGCTGCCCCTTGCAATGTCTAATCACCCCTCCTGGGAAAAAATTCTTCTCATGACAATTTTAAACACTAAATAAAAAATCCGTGATAATGAGCGCATTTCAAGATCACGCTTTTGGACCTCAGGCAAGGCTGCCCGTGCAGCAACGCTGATGCCATTTAATGCCCTGCATCCCGAGCAGACCCCGTTCATATTCACTGGAAACATTGGCAGGAGTGGTTCCTCGCGGCTCTTCCCACCCCTCCGTTTCCTCACAAACATGAGATTAAACCCCTCACACCCACAACCTTGACCTTGTCCTGGCAGCTCTAAACCACCACCCCGCGCCCAGGCAAGGACACCCCGTTCCCCGGTGGGGTCTCTCCCACAGCGCTGACGGTACTCCCCGTGCTTTCGTCCCCACACTCCGATGTCACCCCCTCACACCCTCAATGTCACCGCGGCCCCCAAGATGGCGGCGGCGCCGCGTCCCCCCG